GACATTGATGTCGGAACGGCAAAGCCGGTAGCCCAGCGATGTCGACGGGCAGCACCACAATTCCGCGGGAAGCTGTCAATGCTCATCAATGCAAAGATCATCACTACCTCCACCTCACCTTGGGCGTCATCCATCGTAGTCATCTTCAAGGTTAACGGGGTTGACATCCGCCTCTGCATCGACTACCAGGTAGTGAACAGTCTTACGAGGCTGATGGTATACCCCATGTCGTTGATCAACGACCTCCTTGAAGCCTTGGACAAGGCGCTCTGATACTGTTCCCTCGATATGGCTAGTGGCTTCTGGGTGGTACCAATGACCCCGCGAGCAAGGTTGGTGTCAGCGTTCATCACACCGTTCGGGCTGTTCGAATGGACGAGGATGCCGTTCGGGTTAAAGAACGCTCATCAGATCTACCAACGAATCGTCGACAATGCATTGTATGGTCACATGCGCATCAAGCCCGATCAGGATAGGTCGAACCCCGTTAAAGTCTTCGAGGAAGGAGAGCCGAAGCCAGAACCCTGTCGGTCCTCGGGAGAAGGTCGTATGTGGACGGCATCCTTGTGACCGGCGACTCGTGGGATAGCATGTGCAACCGTGTCGACAAACCGCTCGACGTCTGTGATCAGTGGAACTTGTCGATCAGCGTAGCCAAGAGCTACTGAGGTCGACGCAAGGTGGCGTATCTAGGACACGAACTATCCTCAGCTGGGCTTGCAACGAAACCGAAGGAGCTTGACGCAATCGTCAACCTTCCGTTCCCCATTAAGTTGAAAGCGATGCAGTCGTTCCCCGGAAGCTTGAACTATTACAGCCGCTGCATTTTTCGCAGTCTATGCCGCGATCTTGTACGAGCTGCGGGAAGCAGACTTCCATGAAATCGCCAAGATGAATACAGAGGAGACGCAGGCCGAGGATAGTCAATTAACTGGGGGCGAGCGCGATAGGTGGGCGAGGGCGAAGAACGCTTTCACTATGCTGAAGGCGAAAATTATTGCCACGCCGGTCCTGAAGCACTTCGAACCGGAACGCACTCCTGTCATCGTGCTATACGCGAACAAGTGGGCCATATCAGTGGCATTGATGCAGGAACACGAAGGTGTGTACCATCCGGTGACATTCACCAGTCGCACGCTGAAGGCAAACGAACTCAACTATGGAGTGGTGGATAAAGAAGTATTGGCGCTTTTACGAATATTGAACGTCTGCTACTCACAGCTGGTATCCAGATCGATCAAGGTCCAGTCACGATTCTCAACACTGGCCTGGTTGCTCAAGTCGAACCGGTTCGACGGTCGACTGTGTAGGTGGCCAGCACTACTGTCAGGATGGATGTTGGAGGTCACCAAGTGTGTGAAGGGTGAAGACGAAATCCTCGGAACAATCGCAGCTAGCATCACTCCCCGAGCCGATGTCGATGAAGCTCTAGGCGCGATAGCACCCAAGACACATCTACGGAAAATGATCACCATGCCTCTACCAACGATCGAACAAGACGAGAACCTCTTGGTGGTGAGTTTTGACGGATCTGTGCGAGTGAAGCGCAGCGGCGGTGCGTATAGTCCAGTCGTGTGGAAACTCTCGGAGTGGACGGTGGTGGAAGCCATGTCGGAGTACATGCCAGATTTGACAGTGAACGAGGCGGAATACCGTGGACTGATTCTTTGTTTCGATTTGCTCTCGACCTTGGACAGGGACCGTGTCGTAATTTATGATGACTTGAATTTGGTGATTCGTCAGATGCAGGGTGCGATGGACTGCAAGACACCAGGCCTGCAACTGCTCCTACAGAAGGCGTTGAATCGACTACGGTCGTGGCCGAAACACGAGTTCCTCCACGTGAAGCGGGAATGGAATCAGAGGGCGGACAAGTTGACAAGTACAGCGCTGCAACGAGAAGAAGGCGAAATAATCACCTCAGAGGACGTTCGCCAGGTCTTGATCACCCTCAACCGACTGGGCGAAATGCTAAAGCCAAAGTTGATCGAGACAGTCGTTTGCGTAAACGCGACCACGCGAACCGCTGAGAGACAACGACGCACACCAAAAGCGATGGAAGAATCTATCATACAGCCCATGCTGTGTCAGACGATTAGGCAAGCTCAGGATGAAGAGAAGTGGATTGTAGATCTGAAGAAGTACCTGGACGGAGAAGTGGGTGCCTTGACAGCAGAAGAGGCGAAGGTATGCTCGAAGATAGCCGCGAATTACGAAGTAGACGAGAATGGACTACTTTTCTTTAGCCCCAAGACACTCCAACGAGGCGAAGGTCGCGACGGTGTCGTCAGGATGGTGATTCCCGATAGCTTACAGCGAGACTTCCTTCACCATTATCATGCCAGTCTAGAGGGAGGTCATCAAGGCGTCGGAA